TCCCTACACCATTCCCTAACACCTCCAACCCAAACCCAATTAGTAAGAATACTCCAAAGGTTAAGTTACAATTCTAAAAGGCATGAATTACTCATAATTACGTACTCATAATATCTCCTCATACAATCACCAAATGCATTCCCTTTAGGTTCTTATAAGAACCCACAAACAATCTAAGATTCATGAGATTAGTTCAATACACATAATTAAACATACATACATATCAATATCATCAATTAGAATGTTAGGTCAAAAGACAATCTTAAATCCCTTGGTTTTAATTTTTTTTGTTAACAAATAAAGAAGTTTTTTTATCCATAGTATAAGTTTTCAAAATGACTAAGGTGAATCTTCCACTAAGATGCAACCTGTTAGTAAGACGAATCCTTGTATAAGATGAAAGACACATTAAGATGTTTATGTTACTAACTAAGGTGAACCCTTATTCATAAAAAGAGATATTCATTAAATCTTTATCAATTATAATCTCTAAATAAGGAATTGACTATGTCTGAATATTTTCTTAATAGGTCAAATTTAAAAATGTTTCCTCGGCACCAACGTTCTACAAAAAATAAAAGAAAGGCATGCTTTGCATTAGAAAATGACAAGCAGGTCCATGTAAACATAGAAAGTTGTAGTCAAAAGTTGTTTCTTCACTACAATATCATAACACACGCATGGTTTTACCCATTTGATACCCAAAAGGTGATAAATAGCTTCTTTGATCAGATAAGAAGTGACAATTTTGTGAAAGCATTTCATGCAAGCATTTATTACATCAACGAACTTCTCTCCTTAAGAAGAAAATCATGAAAACAAACAAAGCAAGTCATGAGAGAGAAACTTAAGGATTTGCAATAGTCATCTTCAATGAAGCACTATAAAAGGAAGCTTGAAGCTCAAAAAGAAAAGGATGACAATGTAACAAAAAATCAACTGTAAAAAGTTATATTCTTTCTTATAAGAATTATTTGTACTTAACTTTTTGTATCACATTTTGAAAGAAAGTTGTAAACCTTTGTAACCTTGAGTTATTGGGTTTGAGCTTGGAAAAACCTGTCTGCAAACGAATACTTAGGTTTGAGCCTAGGGAGGCTTGTCTATAAAAGAATACTCGATGTTGAAATCTATAGAGGATTTGTGTAAAAAGAATACTTGGGGAGTCAGAAGTGGCTTGGTAAAGCATACTTATATCTTGGATAAAAAAGTGGTACTTGATCTAGTTGGATCAAGAATTGGACATAGTCTCGATAATTGAAATGAACTAGTATAAAAACATTTTATGTTTTGACTGTTTACCTTTTTGTCTACACTCTTTACTACAACTTTATTACCTTGTTGTTTCATGAAAATTGTGAGTTTTTGAGTGACACTATTCAACCCCTTTTTAGTGTCTCTCTTTTCTCCATAGTTTGGTATCAGAGCTCATCCTTTGATGGGTTTGAGCATCTAATAGTGGCAAAGGAAAAAATCCTGAGATGGGAAACAACAAAGGTCAATATCTACTAGAAGGAGCTTGTCTTACAAGGCCTCTAACCTTTAATCGAGAAGACTACCCATATTGGAGGGAAAAAATGGAAATGTTCATTAAGTCCAGCCAATATCAACTTTGGAGAATCATCACAAGATATGTTGTTGAAATTAAAAAAGCTGAAAGCGAGTACAAGAAGGATGACTGCAACACCTTGCAACTTAACACCAAAGCAAGATACATTTGGCTTGCACATTATCCAGAACAAAATATGATAAATTTTGTACCTGCAAAATGCTAAGGAAATGTGCAAAGCCATCAGGGTACCTCATAAAGGCACTGAAGATGTTAGGCTCATATGAGTTGCTACTCTTAAAAGGTACCATGAGTTGTTCTTTATGAAAGAGAAGGAAACCATTTATAAAATGTTTGGAAGATTCCAAACAATTCTTAATGGGCTAAGATCCTTGGGAATTTGAGTTATTAGGTTCAATCTTAGAGAGGTTTGTTTACAAAAAAAAAAAAGAAAAAGAAATGCTCGAATTTGAGCCTCGAGAGGCTTGTTTGCAAAAAAAATACTCATATTTGAGCCTGAAGAGGCTTGTTTGCAGAAGAATATTTGGGGTTGAAGCCTAGAGAGACTTTTGTGCAAAAAAAAAAATACCTAGGTAGTTGCTTGAAAAACCAAGTCAAAGAGCACTTAGGGTTAAGCTAGAATTGGCTTGGTAAAGAATATACTTGTAACTTGAATAAGATAGTGAAACTTGATCTAGTTGGATCAAGAACTAGACATAATCTCAATGGTTGAGACGAACCAATATAAAAATATTGTGTTCTAACTGTTTACCTTTTTGTCTACACTCCTTACTACAACTTTATAAAAATGTTGTTTTGCCAAAATTGTGAGTTTTTGAGTGACTTTATTCAAGTAGTCCCTTCTAGTTTCTCTCTTTTCTCCACATAGAGCAATGAAGAATATATAGAAGACAAAAATTAAAGAACATATACAAATTGGATTTTCCCTTATATAATGCATACAATAGAAAGAAGATTTTGGGGGTCAATCTCCCTACTCAACAATTATCTTATGACCAAAGTGAGATTACTCACTCCCCTCTTTACCTTGATGAGTGCTAAACCCATAGTAAAAACTAACCTTAACCCCTTTCTTAAAATCTCATAATATTTCCATATACATATTAAAATAATAAAAAAATTATTAAAGTGAACCCAAATAATTATATAAAAAAATACAATAAATAGTAATTAACAATATATATATGTATTAAAATATCATAAAAATACATATTTCTTCAATAAAAATTATACAAAATAATTTTTGCAAATATTTGTTATTTAATTAAACATTCATAATTATTAAAAGTCTATAAATATTTAATAAAACTCTTTTAATTAATTTGAGCATCTTTTTAATAATTTTAAAAAATTTGGGATGTTACATTCAAAAGGGCACTCTGATCAATTATTTTTTAAACATTTTATAATTTTTCTTTGAAATAATACAAATCTAGATAGATTCTAAAGCCAAAATTTTTTAGAATAAAGAAATATATAAAAATAAGAAAAACTTTATTATTTTAGTTAAAAATAGTGAGAATGAAAAAGATTATCATGATAAAGTTAAATATATTAATAATAAAAATTAACATATACACACTAGATAATCTAGTCAATATAATTTATTATTAACATAAAATAACCTTATAAGTAATTTAAAAAATGAATTATAAAGAATCATACTAAATGAAATGAGATATATCTATTGCGAATGAGCTTAAGAATATTTTTGATATCCTAATAATTTTATAATAAAAAATATAATAATAATATTTAAATAATTAAGAATATCATATTTTTGGTTTTCAAAAATAAAAAATAAAAATAAAAAGAATCTGGACCGCCCTGTTGCACTCCATTAGCGTCGGCACCACACCTTTAATATCCATAGTTTTTTTTTTTTTTTCTCTATTCTTTTTCCATTCTGATCCACGCCAAAATCGGTGGACCTGTTTATGTTTCACATGTGCGCAGTGGGGTAGAAAAATGAGCTGAAAAGTATAATAAGGAAATGACATTAATTTTATTGGTCGCATGCATCCAGCGCTCCATGTTCCATCGTGCAGCAATTTAATTAGTAAAGGAGTAAAGGAATTTAGGCTGTGTTTTATGAAATTTAAAATTTTTAAAATTTGAATTACTTGTAATTATTATTATTTATTAAATATTTTATATGAATAAATTAATTTAAATTTTATAAATTTTAAATCGTTAGTTTGAAAAAGATAATTAAATTTATATCACAAAAAAATTAATTTTAAATAAATAAATAAATATATGTTGAATTTTAAAATTAAATTTTATATAAATAAATGTTAGTTAATTTTTAAATATTTAATATTTATAACAAAAAATATTTGACAATAATTAATAATTAAAAATATGAATATTCAATAACTAAAAAAA